TATTAAGGATGAAGACAAGGAGCTGTGTCGCTAAGCAAGTGTTACTCCCGCTTCGACCTGTTTGTGACTCAGTAGAAGTTTGTAAATCAAAGCGTGGGAAGCATGGCTCTCACAAACCTCCAGGGCAACCTAATATTCAGGGCTTCACCACGGGATACGCCAGGTGAGGTAAGAAGTCCGTCACAACCTTAAAATTTCTTAATGGGTTCATTTCGGACTATGGTAGTTGGCAATGATGAAGGAAATAAGCTTTGCAGCGGTAGGAGCGTTTTTGACGAGGTGCCTCGGCCATCTTCTGAATTCTACACCGTGGACTTCTACCTCCACAACGGACCTATATCAGAGTTTGTAGTCGAGCTTCGTGACGGCCCTACCTATAATGGAAAGTGCGAGGCGCTGCTAGCCTCTCAAAGGCAAAGTCCGGGATCAAACTGAAGAAAAACGCGTAAAACCTGTTGGCAAGGCCCAAAATGGAGTTTTTTCTCCAGTGCCCACAAAGCGAAATAGCAATGATTTGTGGGCGGGCTCAATGGTGTTGGGCGGGGCCAATGCTGCATCCTAGGGCCTTAGCGCCTCGGCCTTGTCAAATCATCCCAAAATTGTGCACTTGCTCTCCGCTTGCGTACCGCTGCACTTTTCTAAGGGAAAAACTTAATTTTGACCAAAAATCCTTAAACTTCAACCAAGTCCCTAAACTTCAGCAAACAAGGTTTTGAGCGAGATAATATCACAACAAAATGGTTAAATTCAATTTATTTCATCATGAAAAATAACAATTTCATCGCCTTCATAGAAATATCAGAACATCGAGAGCACTGTAAAGGTGAAACACGCTGTAGCGGTGAACGGCATGCCTATTGAAGCTATTGCAGATAGTGTTGGTCGTTGACACGAATCCATAGTTATGGAGACATTTGTACTAGACAGTGACTCGGAGTACGGATTTACTAGTGGTCGAGGTTTTTTGAATTTTCTTGGATAACTACTGACTGCAGCACTTATATCCACCGGTGGATGGAAGCCTTGAGAATGCTCTACTACTGGTTGGTCATAATTGTTAAAGGATAAAAAGGATAAATCATTTGCCGTTGATCAATCCCTTTTTGGGATGCACGCATTCTACTTCCATTTGTACATTCGTAGTGGCTTGCGAATTGCGGGGGCCAGCCGTGTACAAGTCAGTGTTTTTATCCTCCCAGACAAGTCGGGTACGGTGGATGGAGGGCTTGGTTGGCCGGGCGAGGCACGACCCAGGATTCGATCCCCGGACCGCTCGCGTGGTAAGCGTGCCACTTGCCACTACACCACTGCCCCCGTGTCATAACTGGCCTACGATTTTTTTTTCAGAAAAAAAATGAAAAAATTGAAAAAAAGAGTGTTGAAGGACTTCCTTCCAAAGCTAATAATACATTGGAACCATAGATTCGTGGCCGACCAGGCGGTGTGACCAGGCCTAATGCGAACACAAGCCTCACTTCCTGAATGCAGAAATGTGGAGCAATGGAAACTAAGTTGCGCTGAGGTTTCGAGCATATAGAATTCTAGTTAATTCCAATCCAGCTACAATTATAATAATAGAATGACCAAGAATAAATCATTCGGCGTTGATCACCCTTTTGGTAGCCGCCACAGATCCTAATAGATCTACTCATAATTAT